GGCCGGCGCTCGTCTCGACACAACCGGCACTTGCTCCACATTTCTACGCGATTCCCGAATAACCCGGAAACGTCCAGTTCGGGGTTTAGGGGGGACGCGCCGGTAGATGACGCAATCCGCGCTGTGAATTCGGCAATATTCGTTACAATATGTTGAGTTCACGGCTCTTTGTACAGCTTTAACAAACTTATACTATCGTGTTGTTTTTTGGATATTTTTTCAGTTGATCCTCATGACTGGCAACAATCAATTTTAAAGCTTTCTCTTCACTAGAATATGGTGACTTCGGAAGACTCCTCAAAGTTTCATTTTTTTAAAAATTCATTTTACTATCTAATAGACCCAACATTTAATTTATATTCATCTCTTGACTCGCAAATCAATTTTAGTTTATTATTGTTTTCAGCTTCTTTCAATTCTTTAATATCCCATCTCTCCTGCGGTTCAGATAATTTTCTTATTGGAAATATCTAATTTTTCCTCTAAGTCTTCTACATTAATATCCCTGTCATCCACCTTTTCACCATTCCTGGCAGGAAAAGCTTCATGCTCTTCAAAATGCTGGTTGTATTCTACTTTTGGATCTTGCAGCAGTTTGTTGGGGCTTAATATTTGGTCGTCATCACTATCGATTGATATTTGGTCGCCATAACTTTTGAAACTGCTTTCCTTGAGCCTGTTGTGCCAATATTCAAATCATCTTTCTGAATAGCGTCAATTTTGATTACACATTCATCCGTTCAAACTTAGTTACTCTGCTGTAATGTTTGTTTCGCAGGAACTCTGCTTGATCTAGTATGTATCAAGAGTTGGTGTATCAAAAGGCCCAAAGCGTGATTGGAAACAACGTAGACTTTGTTGTTGCAGCATAAATTTTTCCTCCAAGTTTTCAATTATAATATCCCTGTTATCTGCCGTTTCACCATTCCGGGCAAGAAAATGTTCATGCTCTTCAAAATGCTGATATTCTTAACAGCAGTCATCGTAATGTTTTTTTCGTTTTTTTTCGATTTCTCTTAACTGAATCTGCATGAGAGTTTTATATTTCCCACAATACAGTGCAAACGGGTATAGCCGAATAAGGGGGTAAATCGCGCACCCATACCAAATAGATAACCGCGATGCTCATATGAAAGAGTATAAAAATGTCGTAGATTCCCAAAAAATCAGCATCCTAGGGCAATCTGTAAGAGATACAATAAGAAACGTGTTTTTCATGTTTTTTTTCAGCTTCTATTGCATGTATCAGACTGCAAAAGAGGGAGAAAATAGTTGAATTTGAAGGTATTTTTGTCAACCAAATTTGACAAATTAAAAGAGAAAAATAAATTATTGAAACTGATTTTCGACATGATAACGTTGGAGTACTGTCGCAGCTTTACCCCGTAGAATGTGTCTCATAACATTCTATAACATTTTTTCATATTTTGTAACCTCCACAGGCTCATCAACACGTGACTTGCCTAGCGAGCCGTGCTCGCCGCTGCACCGTCGTGGCGCCAAGTTTTTGTGTAATTGCACGAGGTTGGTTCTCCCACTGTCTCTGTGCACTTCCTTATATACTCGAGGCTCACGTAACCTACGTGACGCCACCTTCGCAGCGCACTTCCGCTTGCCATGAGGTTTGGGTCTCCGTTCCTTAAAACCGGAGGACCCCAACGCCGCGTGACTTCCTTTGCCACGTGCTGCTTTTAGGGAAAATCCTTCTTTCCCTCCTGTGGCGAGGCGGTTTCCTGTTGCTAATCCCTTACCACAAGTCCCCAAATAGCTGCCACGAGGTTCGCTCGCTAGTACGTTACACCACCTGCCCACGCCCAAGGTATATATTTTTTTCAACTTTTTCTCAATTTTTGTTTCCTAATGGTAGAACTGAATTAGAACTCAACTTTTTAGATTTAGTTAGTCAAAAAAGTAAAAACTCTGTGACGTATGGGGAAGATCATCTGCGCACGTTTTCTTGAGTTCCTGAACCCCTTCACATCATTTTAATTATAAATAGTTGAAAGATAAATAAAAATGAAGTTTAAAAAGTGCGCGATTAGCAACATATGAAAAACTAGACATTTTCGTTCCCGAGATATAGATTTTTTTTAGCGGTAAACTAACTGCATATTTAATTTTTGTGCATTGCTAACAAAACTATACCTCGACCTTACCTCTACTCCTACCACTTCAAGCAAAAGGAGAGCGTGCGCAACAAAACGTGTGCATAGTGAAGCTACATTTACATACAGACACAAAACAAGGGGCCATCTCAGCATTTTTGCTTAATGGATCAGGGACCCTGGACAAAAACTTGATGGGATCATTGACCCGGAAGCTGAAGTACATTACTTTTACAAACATTTTAACTCTTTTAAAAAATATACAATACAAATGTTAACTAATTGCATATGTCAGTTTTGTTAAAATAAACATTTTTTCTTTTTGATAATTATTATAGTTTCCAATTGTATAGAAAACGTTATGCAGCAGAAAAGATTTCACTTTTAACTTAAATTGTTTACTGTCATCTGGCAATGCGTAGTAAAGTAACGTACATGTATTGTATGTGGATTTCTGGTAGTCAGCTGTTGATTCAGACACTGGATGACCGTGCTTACTACATGTGTTGTAATTATAAATATCAGTATTGAATGAAAATGTTCCCACCATTAAGTAAATCGGTTATTACAAATATTAAAGATTCGTGAATAAATAGGCGAAGCAATGGATTGCAAGCTCAATGAAGAGAGGCTTGCAGGGATCACGCGGATGACAGTTTTTCATTATTCGAATCATTTTCTTTTGCAATCTAAATGTCTGTGTACTATATATCATAAGCTTCCCCATAATATTAGCCATATCTCAAGCAGGAGTGCACATTTGCAAAATACACGCAATGAGCTACATGAAGGCTGACAGACACACACACACACACATTCCATTTGAATTGAGAGACCTAGAAAGTTTCTTACCTTAACATCAGCTAATTGCATCCAATTCCAACTTCATGGACCCCGTATTCAATTAGTAAAGAATTGGAAAGATAAGTAAATAATGTCCTTTCGTGTCAGTACGGTATTTCTATTCTGTAAGATAGATGTTTAAGGTACGAGGTTATCCAATCTAAAGCGATACCACGAATTCCATAAGTATGTAATTTTGATAGTAAGATATTAGGGCCAATAACGCCAAAATCTTTCGAAAGATCTAAAAATATTCCAATAGGTGCTTCATTTTGGTCCATTGATGAAGCATTGTAGTTTACGGAAAATTGTGGTTTCCGTAGATTTTCTGAAACCGTGTTGTGAGTCCGAAAACATTTCATTTTTCCTGAGAAAAAATTCCATTCGCGTATAGAAAAGCCTCTCTAATATTTTTTGAGAAACATGACAAAAGCGAAATTGGCCAGTAATTTTGAATTTATTTTTTGTTCCTTTTTTAACAAGTGGCCTAATTTTTGCTGTTTTAAAATACCTTGAAATATTCCTGTGCATAAAGAAGCATCGAAAATGGTTAAAAAAGGGCGTATAAAGGTAGGTACACAAGTTTTCAATAAACAGCCCGGAAATTCATCGAAACGAAATTAATATTTATTATACTGACTATTCTCAGAAGTTCCTTAGGAGAAGTTTTGGAAATAAACGTCGTGCCAAAAATTGTTTGGGAAGGGAATGATTTTGAATTTTGTGCTTTTAGTCTTTTCGTGCGTTTAGCTGCATTTCTAGAAAAGTGTTGGTGGAAGAGATTTACTTTAAGAATATTAAATAAGATATATTACTTAAGGAATATTAAAGAAGAGTAAAACGTCGTCCTATAAGGACATTTGAGTTGTAAACTTTGAAGCAGTTTTAAACAACAGCGTTTAAGTGTTACTGTGAATGCGAAATTTCAAATTCTCTTTCACAGAAATCTTTTTAGTTTTTGAAAAACATCATTGGAAGTAATTTAAAACTCACAAATACAATAATCATTACAAATTGCTGGAAATGTACATATTAAAGGCGTGAGAGATATTAAAGTAAAATTACATTTGCTTCATTGAAAGAAAAAAAATAACACAAAATACAGCAAAATTAATTTTAGTTCATCATACACAGTGCAGTTAGCACTATCCGTACGAAAAGTGTGAAGACAAAATTTGGAGCCGTTTTTGAGAAAATGATTGAGAATTTCTGAAAATGCGGGATTTTGAGCTCGTTTTCAACAAACTGTATGTGACATCATTTAAGGGAAGACGGACCCAAAAAATCGGGGGGGGGGAATGATTTATCACAATTTGCGCCATTTTATTCCTTTTCTTCTCCTGAAGATGCTGAAATATATTTGGCGAATAGTTAAAGGTTGTTTTACTACGTTTTAATCCCTAAAAAATATTTAACGGAACTATGCCGAAGTTAGGGCATTTAAAGAGTGGGCGTAACCCTTGGAGAATGGGGAAAATATTACTTTTTAGATATTTACGAAGTTCGAGATGTGGTTTGCAATTCATGACTTAACTGTTAGCTTACATCTAGGGTGTATCTTTTGGTTTTTCTAAATAATACGCCTAAAGCGAATAAAAATACAATTAATTGCATTATTGTAGTTGTTTTAAATAATTATATAGAATAATTGTTTTGAATGAGAATAGAAGTGAAGGGCTCTTATGTAAATAAATGCATGTTTTAATTATGAAATAATTAGGGATGTGCGTAGGAAGAAATACCAAATTGAACCTCCCACAACGTGCAAGGAAGTGCTAATAAAAGATAAATGATCTCCTAAAACAAAAACAAGAATGAAGAAGCTAAAATGAAAGGAAACAATTAGGAGATTCCAGATGACCCAGAATATCGTATAGGAATGCAATGAGTGATTGAGTACAGGAAAAATTTAGTAACAAAACTTTGAAGTCAATTTACTCAAATTCTTGTTTTTTAAACTTTAGAAACTTGTATCTCCGGGGAAAATAGTTATACATGCTTAATTTTTTACCGCACTTCTGCAATATTTATAAAGTTATAACCAGCAACAAAACTAGCAAAAGTATCAACCATTTAAATAAAAAAATATATAACTTAAAAATGTAATGTTTTCACAATTTAATAAAAAATTCACCATTTGAATTGTTCGGAAACAAATAATTGTATATAACATTTTTAAGCTAATTTGCATTAATAAAGGTTTTAATGTTAAATATTTTTAAAAAATAATCCTGTAAGTAAAATAGTTTTTGAGATGTGTACTCAAAACTCATAAAAGTAACATGTGCAAGATAAGAACGTCCTTCTCCCCTTAAAGCACATGTACTCGTAAATGCAATAATGTTTCGAAATCGCCGCTTATGTAAATATTAACATGAGATGCTAGTAAAAAATACAATTTTGATTTTTTAAACAAAACGAAGCAAAATGGCGTTTACGTTACGTTATAGCCGTTTGTGGGAAAATATTGTTTTTGTTATTTTTTAACATTGCACATATTGCACACAATATTGCGCGAAAACTACAAAAATTTTCAAAACAATGTACATGACTTGAATGAAAGAACTAATTAAGGACAACAAATTTCATTTTAAGGAAAAAACTCTTATCTCCAATTTTGTAGTCGTAGGTTGTCGTAAAAAAAATCAAATTTTTGCAATTATCAAAAATTCAGAGTAAATAATGAAAACGTTTGGCCTGCGTCACCTTTATAAATGTATTTTCCTG